GTGGCTGCCGAAGCTGCGGCGGTGGCTGCAGCGCTGGCCGAGCAGCGCGCGTCGCGGAAGAAAGGGGTCGCCGAGAAGCCCCCGAAGAAGTCGGAGCAAGAGGCGCCCGGCGAGAAGTTGCTGACCGAAAAAGAGCGGCGGAAGATGGAGAAGAAGCTGCTGGAGCAGAGAAAAAAAGAGGAGAAGAAGAAGGAGAAGGAGAGGAAGAAGTTGGAGAAGATGCAGAAGAAGATGAAGAAGAAGGGGCTAGAAGCCCAGGAGGCGGCCCGAGGCCCGGAGGTCGCCGCCGCGGCCGGCGCCGCCGCCGCCGTCGACGCGGTGAGTTCCGTGGCTAGTGCGCGCCCCGAGTGGGCGCCGCCGGGGTCGGCGTGGGCGCCGGCGCCGGGGCCACGAGTAGGATCTGGATTGAGTGGGACACGGACTCAAGTGACGAGGACGACGACTATGACGACGACGAGGTGGACGACGACTACGACGACTTGTTCGACGCCCTGCGAGGCCTCAGGAGCGCCGTGTGGGGGTCTGGGCGGCTGGAGATGAGCGCGCTGAGCGCCCACCTGCCGCTGCTGACCTTCCTCGTCTTCTCCGTGCGCAACCCCGCGTGGGTACTGGACTTTCTAATGCACCCGAACCCGGACGAGGGCCGCGGCTGCGGTTTCTTTTTCGGGGCGACCTGCTGCTTCCGAATGTTCCTGGGCTGCGCCTTCTTCTCCTTCGTGGGCGGCCCGGCCAAGCGCAGAGGCCGAGGGCACTCCGGGGCCTCGGGTGCCTTCGAGTCCGGCCCTGGCGCCCGTCGCCGGGGGCGCGAGGAGCGGCTCATCTAAGTCAGACCCCCCACCCCCGCCCCCAGACACCACCATCGCTGTGTAGTGTGGAGTTTTATTGAGTATTTGTGTATGTGTGTTTGGACACATTTTCCTTTTCGGTTGCTCTGTCCTTTGGTTCGTGCTCGCCTCGCTTTTTCCACACTTCCCTGCTCTCTAGCTCTCTCTATGTCTCTCACTTCTTTTCGAAAATTTTCCTAAGTCCGGGCTCTGGCTCGCACTCCCTCCCCTTCCGCCCACCCCGGCCCCTCGGTGGCGCCCGCGGGAGGGGAGGGGGGCGCTCGGCCTCGGGGGCCGCAGGGCGACGCGGACCGGGGGGTGGAGCGTTGGCGTCGTGCGAGGGGTCGTCACCGGCTCGGAGACGCCCCCTCTCCCCCCGGAGGCCGGGCCCGCTTGGGGCCCAAGCCAGGGGGGGCGAGGGGGCGTCTCCCGGGCCTGTCCCGTCCCGGGCCGGACGCGGGCGGAGGGACCCCCCTCCCCGGGTACCCGGGGGGGGCGCCTCCCTCCGCCAGCTCCCGCCCTGCCCGCCGCCGCGGCCGCTCCTCATCCCTCCTCCTCCTCCTTCCACCCCCCTCGCCGCCGCCGCCTCCGCCTCCCCCCGCCTCCCCCCGCCCGCCGCGGAGCTCTGGGTCGGGGCGGCGGCGGGGCTCTGGCCGAGGCAATAAGAGCGGCGGCGGCGGCAGCGGCGGCAGCAGCTCCCGCAGCTCCGTCTCAGGTCCGCCTCGCTCCGCGGCGGCCATCAGACCCCTGGGCTCAAGCTCGAGGGGCTGGGAGCCGCGCGCTCTGCTCAGGCACAGCGACACCGCCCTCCCCGCGCGCTCCTCCCCGAGGAGCCGATTCCGCGCCCGGCCCGCCCGCCCGGTGCTGCCCCGGCCCTCTCGGCCCGCTTGAGGCCGCCCGCGCCCGGCCCCGCCGCCGCCGCCGCCGCCGCCGCCATGGGCTGTCTCGGAAACAGCAAGACCGAGGACCAGCGCAACGAGGAGAAGGCGCAGCGCGAGGCCAACAAGAAGATCGAGAAGCAGCTGCAGAAGGACAAGCAGGTCTACCGGGCCACGCACCGTCTGCTGCTGCTGGGTAAGGGCGGGGCGGGGGGCGCCGGCCCCGGCCCAGCCCGGGGGGGCCCCTCGG